GTTGAAATATGGACGTTGTTCAACCAAAATTGAACTATGGACGACCATAAGGATCTAGTACCAATGCATATTCAACTTTGATTCAACGTTGATTATGATCGCAGATTTACTTTTAGTTTAATCCGAATTAATCGTTATCTAAACTTTTATACCACTAATTTTGTGTAATCATTCCTTTATTGATTAAGTCTGTAAGTGATTTTTGTCCGGAAAAATAGATTTTTGTCCGGAAAAATATTTTTTTTCAAGATATTCAATATATATACTACTCAAAGTTTGCCAAGCACCAATAGTGTTTTTGTACCTATCTTATGTTGTATGTCAAATATTAGATTTATTTCTGTTCTTATATATGACATAGCGATTTATAAACATCATTGATAATGGGATTAAGATCCGGGGATCGGGCCGGCCAGTCCAAACGAGTAATACTCTGTCTTTCCAAATACTCTTGGACGACATTGGCTGTAGTGGGACGGGCATTATCATCCATCAAAATGAACCCATTACCAATTGCACCAGCATAGAATCTTACCTGGGTGTTGAGGATCTCATCTCGATACCGCCGGGAAGTCAATGTGCCTCTGTCGAGGACAATGAGGTCAGTACGTCCATCCCAGCTGATTTCACCCCAGACCATTATTGATCCGCCGCCATAGCAGTCGTCTTCCGCAATGTTTGCTGTATGGAACCGTTCCCCTGACCTTCGCCATACTCTAGCACACGATCTGTGTAGTGCAAGCAGAACCTTGACTCGCCGGTGAAGAGGACAGGCCGCCAGTCCATCCTGCTCCAACCAACATGGTCCATGGCCCAATCATATCGGAGCCGACAGTGGTCTCTAGACAGCGGGATCCGTATACATGGTCTTCTCGATCGCAGACCACTTTCGTGCAAACGTGTACGTATGGCTTGTGTTGACACACGCACTTCTGAAGCATTTTGAAGGTTAGAACGAAGTTGGGTTGCAGTTGCAAAACGGTTTCTTCGTGCCTGGATGACCAGAAAATGATCCTCAGCCTCAGTAGTCACCCTTGTTCTGCCACCACCATGCCGTCTCACAAGTTTACTATGTTGTTAAGCTCGGGTGATAACTGTATGATCCACACCAAACACATCACCAACCTCACGTTGAGCCCCTTGCTCCACCATACCAACTGCTCGCCACAACTCTGCTTCTGATAAATGCCTTCTAACATTTGCATTCGCCATATTTAATCTTAACTGTTCAATATTTCAATAGAAAATGAAGAATGAACACCATACACGTGTCGGTATGTATATGCTGTCTAATAAAGACTATCAAAATACAGGGTCACCTTATTTGCACTACTTGCACGTGGAAATGGCCTGTATTTCAAGGTTATGTGTACACAGGGTACACTCTCAATACATTGCTACACGATTTACAATGTAAATAATAATAATAATAATAATAATAATAATAATTATTATTATTATTATCATATGAAAAAAACTCATTATAAGAAGAGCAACGTTCACATGACCTGGGAAGACATTATCGGGAAAAAGTTCTTCAGAGTTTTCATTTTATGTAGTTGGTGTTTGTATGAGGAATTTTCTGTTTATTGTTTGGGTAATAGACAGGACTGATTTTGAGAATTTGGCTCTCTATAAGATGCTAGAGGCATTTTGTAGTACAAGCGGTATCTTGGTGTATTTTACCTATTTAAGGTATGCTGAATCCGATAAAGGTGGATACCAAACTGAAAAACTTGATCTTGACCATTGAAATGGCCATTTAAAATGACCACTAAAATGGCCGCCAAATTTCTTTATCATAAATGGATGATATATCAAATACAACTTTAATGAAAGGAAAAGCCTGAAATTTCTCACAAAGCATGCTTAGGTGAAAACAAATTAGACACCAAAACAGAATTTTAAAAAAGCCAATCCAATATGGCCGAAAAAAATCCAAGATGGAGGACGTTTTCTTAAGGCCAATATAGGAACCGCAAATTCTTTATCATAAATGGATTATATATCAAATAAAACTTTTAAAGATAGAAAAAGCCTGAAATTTGACACAAAGCATGTTTAGGTAAAAACAAATTAGACACCAAAACAGAATTAAAAACAAACAACAATCCAATATGGTCGAAAAATCCAAGATGGCGGACATTTACTATAGGCCAATATAATAGTAATATCGAAATAATATTACAGATAGTACTAAATATTTTAAGGCATTTAAACATAAGAGACTAGAATGTAAAATTTCTAGAAAGTCCCTACTCCTTTGAACCATCACAATATTAAGGGTTTTCGCAGCGAACACTACACTCTTCCCTGTCCTATTTGCTAAAATATATAGAGCTTTCGTGTATTTTATCTGGCACTCTATGCAAGCATATAAAAGTGGCTACTCAGATTCCTACTTATATTTTCACAGCACTATATGCCAGTATTTCTTTCAACAAGGTTTTTAAACTTGACTAACCGCCTGGGAAATTTCTAAATAGTTTACTCTTACTCCTCAGAGCTGCCCAATGCAATTCACTTATTGCGATATTGAAATTCAGGAAATTTTAAGTATTTTAAAACCAATAACACTTATATAACAGCTTAGATTTAATTTTGCTTCACTTAAGGATTTCTTATAACTTGTCAAAACAACCCTATCCTCCCATGCATTGCACTGGTTTCCAAGTCAGATGTCAGTGAATGAGGCTTCCTCTTGAGACTAATGCATCATTTGAATATACATATCTGAAGGATTATATTTTGATCCCAGTTAAAAGGCCCTATCCAGCGACTTACAAATTTTATTTATTGACCCATAAGCAACAACATTAGGGAAAAGCTGTGTTACTATAATGTCAATAATTGGAGTTTGTTTTCATAATGATATTGTCATAAAGCCAAAGAATTCAAGCTAAATAAGATTTTAATTATGAAAACCTTTAATTATTATATATAACGCAATGGCATCGGATTTTTCAATGTTTAGCGTGAGCTTCATAATGGCCATGTCAAACAGTCAGTCAGAATGTCTGAAACTTAAAACGGTTGACTTTTCTCATAATGGATGTGTTTTTTCATAATGGCTGAGTTTTCTATCCAGAATGTCATAGTGAAAATGCATCAGCTCTGAATTGCAAGTGCTAATGCGCCTAATATTGCACAGTTAATTAATAATGCATATTATAAAACTCATATTGAATCAAAAACCTCCCCTTGGCCAGACTAAGAAAAATTTTTTTTTTCGTTGGCATCAACATTTATCGCCTTGTGACTTTGTCATCGAATGAGATGTCATAGTTATGACTTCAAATTCTTCTAAATGCTCGTTTTATTTTCTTCACAAGAAACCCTATACCACGCAATTTATGAATAATTAACATTAAAAAAAGGCCATTATATTATGCAAACGTTTTGGCTTTCTTTTTTAAATAACAGTAACTTGTATTTGAAGCTTGCACAAACTTGGTTACGACAAAGTGTTCTACTGTGATGTCAGCTAAACAGATAAACTACAACATGCATATAAGTGTTTGGTAGACTTTGTATCCTCGTGGCATCAAATTGAGGGAAAATGTAGATTATCTGATATGTACGGTAGTGTGCAAAATACATTCTTAAGAATTGAACATACATGGACGGACATTGTAAAAATTGACTAAAGAACATTTCGAAAATATGTAGGCTCGTTCTGAGTTAGTCCGTTGATGTAATTCCGTGCTGCAAATGACCACGTCAAAGTTTCTTCTGTCGGGTATATATATCTGCTGGAACGTCTACTATTTTATTAGCTGACAACATCAAATCAGAATCCATGTAATAAAAAGTTACTTTCTTTAAACTTATCCCAGGATCTAGACTTTTTTTCAGATTTCAAATTGCTAATTGTCAATGTATGATTTAATTCACTATAACTAGCGACCTCATTTTTTAAAGACTGTAATTTTGTTACCTGAATAGTTATCGTAAAATTTCTAGTTTTCTTATAGTAAGTAAAATTATACACCTCAACTACAAATTAAACGACTATAAAAACTTCCACGTGCTTGCTGAATAAGAAAGTACAGGTAATAAATTAATCAAACCATGAACAGGTTGATTATAGGGAGAAAATAAACATAAATCACTGCCAACAAGGGTTGATTCTTAAACTGTCTATGTTTGGTTACAAAAAATATTAAACCACAAAGTATCCACTCCCTCCCCTGTTGGGCAGGAAAAAAATGAAAATGTGATTCTCCGGCCGTGACATAAGTAAATGATATCGTAGATGAATTCTCAACATTTTAACCATCACTTTATTGAGTTTTACGTTGATTATTTAAGTAATACTGCTTTCTAGTTGACTTGTGGAAATAAGACTTTCTACCAAGTTGTATCCGATCTATATGTGAAAAGGATTTTTGGTTATTTCAAGGATGGCAGTCCGTCCGTTTAGGCCAGTAGCAAGACCGGAAGTTTATTGGGCACGGATTCCGTGAGTTCGTGTCATGCAGAAAAAAAGAAGAAAATGAAAAAAGGAGGAAAGAAAGCAATTATAAAAGAGCTGCATAATTTAAAGAATTTATATCTTTGAAATCAGTTTTGTGATATATACATGTGTAGTTAGCGGGATTTTTTTTTTTTGCAAAAAAGGTAAAGTAACAGTTACTAGATTAATTGCAATAACACAAAATAATAATGTAGAAAAAATGAATATTTATACATTGTATCATCATGTGTTTTCTTTTATGAGCTTAGCATTTAAAGTACTTTAGTAAAAGACAAAGAAGAGTGTATACTGTAAAATGAGTAGCCATTACAAATTTTCAATCTAGAAATTGTGAAAGATTTCCATTTCAGGCTTTGCGGTTTAAGTCGATGTATCGTCAATGCAGCGAAATTGAATACAATTCTAGTTTAAGAACATTGTTTTCAATAGAATCTATTTAAATGACCCTATTTTTGTTGGTAAATTTTTAGTGGCAAAGGAACTTATTTAGTGTGTTATAACCTAATGTTAATTTTCATGAATTGAATATTGCACAGTGTCACCGTCATACGAAAAGTAAATATTTACTTTAATTACTGATAATATTTCAATATTCGATGTACTTTTCACGTTTAACAACAATATGGCAATAACATTCTAAAGGGTTTTTGATATTTAGTGTTATATTCTCATTGTCAATCTATGTGATACGCGTAAAGTCCGAAATACATCTAAAGTGCACTAGTGTCCGGATGAACCCATATTGGCTATAACACCTTGACGTTAGACTCCATGACTTTTTTGACCCCTTAGGCTTCTTGGCAATGGCATTTTGACTGCTAGGACATTCCGACCCATTAATTCTACCGGACAGTTCGACGATTCGTTCAATAACGGTCAATGAATGTGTTAGTCACTGCTACAGAGGAGAGCTTTATGCCGGCTCGCCACGGCGAGCCGGTATTACGGTAGGATTTTACTGAGAAACAACCTAAAACTCCGAAGCCATCCAAAAATTTTAGTAGACGCTTGGCTTCCAGCTTTCTACAAAATTTATCTATCAGGGCTAGGATCCAAAATTATTTAGCCAATCAAATTTAATCTTACATAGCGTCAAAAAACCTTCAATTTTCACGCCATTTTTAAAAATCAGCAAGTATTGTTTTGAGCGCAAAGATATAATGATGATTAAAATGTTTGTCTTTATGAATTTTTTTCAATAAATCATATTTACACTGACTTCTGATTTAGCGATTTCACCTGTTTTCTCTGTAGTAAGTTTTCGTTTGGTTAATTAACATAAGTGTACATCTGGTTCTGTGCATTTTTTATTTTTTCCCTTTTTTTCCGGTCATTTTATCCTTTCCGGTATTTAGTGTATGTATTTACTGGCCGGGATCCGGGACGCCCGGGATCCGGGATCGTATAAGATATGGAGGAAAAAACCTAATGAACTATATTTGTGTTGATTGTTGTCGTAATGAAAGGCCATTAAACGCTAATTTTTTTATTGTATATAATGAACGTTAAATTAATTTAACTTAGAATATAGATATATTTAGAGCTATTTATTAACAAACTTAAAATGCGGAAATCACAATACTTATAATTATATGCCTAATTAATTGGAAAAAATCAAAGACTATTTTCTTGAATTGGTCAAATCCCGGGATCCCCTATATGTTTTAAAACGATCCCAGCTTTTCTGAAAACTATATACTTGAACTGGCCAATCCGTGAGATCTATTTACATTTTTAATACGATCCCCGGCTTTTTCTGAAAACTATATTCCTGAACTGGTCAATTCCCGGGATCCCTATATGTTTTAATAGGATCCCGGCTTATCTGAAAAACATCTTCTTAGACTGGTCAATTTCCGGGATCCCTATATTTTTTTAATAGGATCCCGGCTTTTCTGGCTGAATTGATTGACAACTTGTGTTTACTTTAGGACTTGTGCCTCTCATTCCAATACTAAATAACATACATGTATTACAACTTAATTTTGTATAAAGAGACATCTTTATGAAATCTACCTATCTAACATTTTGTGGTCAAGGTCAACAGGCCATATAGTAAATGTGCATAGACATAGGTTCTTCATTCTATCTGTTTACATGCACCTTCATATATACTCATACTCATCTTGGTTAAACTGAGAGAACTTTATATGTCACTTTCAGTCAATGAGTTTAAGATTTTGAATTTACTGGCCCGAATTCCAGTTTTGAATTTATTCTACTAAATAATTAACAAAATTTTCTTAAATTTACACTGGCCTGAACTTATATACACTGGCCATCGGGCACCGGGCCAGTGTTGACTTCACTTTTATTTTGATGTTCGCTGAAGTCTCTTCAGCTAACAGAACTGTCATTTTTACATTTAAACACACCCCTTGAAAAAAATTACGAAGCGAGTCGCTACTAGCTTTTCTGTACGAAATCTGCTGTGGTCATAGTATTATTTTTACAATAGGTTTATCTCTTAGATTTGGTTCGCTAAATTGCTAATCATGGTTATGCAACTACATAGTTAGGTGAAGAAGCAGGCGCTTGTTTTGGTTGAGTCTATTATGTTTTGTTTAGGGGGTTGAGTTGTCATACACAAATTTACAATTTATATGCATTTATTTTTTTCCAATGATTGTTATTATCTTATTATATAAATGCTTCTGGGATTGTTGTTTTATCAATTCATTTGTAAATAAGATTGTTATATGTCTATTAACGGAATAATTTTAATGAACACGAAATTAGTTCACACCTACATGTGTATTGGTAACGTGGTGGTTTAAGCCAATGAAAACACGTCAATATTATTATACTCAGGCAGAGAAAAAGTGTGAAAAGAGTAAATCGATAATCTTTATGTGGCCAGCAAACTTGAATTGCAAGTATTTTTTTTCATATCTTTTCGACAGGATAAAATGCCCGAGGAGGGCCGGGCATTTTCGTATCGTAAAATGGCTGCCATTTACAGTTTGATTATCCCAAGCACCACCGCGACTTAGCGCGGGAATTTTAATTATAGCTAACCTCGGCGCGTATACCTTTTTCATATTTTATTGTAATAAATATTTACAAACTGTGTCTTTCGGGTTTTTTTTTATCAATATATAACCGGTAATGATGTTAATATGAACAAATAATCATATCTCAAATCTTTGACTATGATTTACAATGAAATTCTACCTTAAGTGTATTAAAAAGGTTTTTAATTTCCTGTAATTTTATTTTGTGATTATGCTTTAAAGCAGTCAATTGACCGTGAATTTTCTTTTCATATTTTGATTTCCTTGAAATCATTTTTCTCATCTGAAGGCATGCAACTTTAATATGGTGATATATTAATTACATTCCATGAAAATGTTTAAAGATATAAAATATCTCATGACATGTTTGTTCATTTTACATTACACCTTTAATTCAGCAAACATAAAAAGTCTTCACAAAAAGTAGTATGTAATCGTACCTATATTACATACGAATGTATGTAATATTTTTCTTGTTTAAAAGCTAACCTTGTTGATTTATAAATCAATAAACTGATAAATATGGAATGGTAAAGGGGAATGAATTCAATATAAAACACAGTGAAATATTTAAGATTTTTTGAAAGAGGAGGCCTATATATAAACTTGTTTATAGAAGGTATGTATCTGTCTTCTGTTAATGTTAAACCCCTCATGGGGACGTTGAAATGTCTGCGCATCTAAAATCGAAAGAAAGTTAAAAAGAGTTGTTTAAAAAGAGGATAAAAGAATATTTAATAATATTAAAAACAGGGCCTGGAAAACTAGGGAGAGACATGTTAGATGCTAGCTTTGGCCGCATTGACTGCTCTGGGGTAGAGAGAAGGGCAACTGCAGGTGGTAGGTGGTTCCAGTGGTATACCGTCCTAGGAAAGAATGAGAATTTATAATAGTCTGAGGTTGCTTTGAATAACCTATAACTATACTTCAGAACCATAATATTCAAGCTGGGGTCTGACTAACATCTGGGAAGCGATGGACTTAATGAATTGGGATTAAACTTTATGTTATCCTAGGGTTTGCTTTAATTGCTTTCTTCGATGTCCTGTCTATATGGGCATCCCACGTAAGGTTTTCTGATATATCCAAGCCTAGGTATTTAGCTAAGATAACCGATTCTAATTGGACTCCATGAAGGTAGTATTGGGATGGGAAAGGATGTTTCCTTTTTGTGATGTGGATAACTTGACACTTGGAGGGGTTAAATTCCATATCCCCCTTCAACTCCCACTTTTCTAACCGGTAGGCCCTTAGAACCATCTTTCTTGTTAATGTATGTATAATGACAATGTTTGTCCAATTGAATATATCAGACATTAAGACTTGTTACAGTTTATGATGGTTAAGCCAAAAAGTAAAAATGTCTCTAAACAACGTCATATTTATAGGAATAGGACTAGCATAATATATGTTAAGATATTCCATGTTGGTGTTTGTTACATGTATCCACTGTACATGTATAAATAAATACATTCCTGTTTGTCCGGAACTTAATGTCTAAAGTGATCATTATTTTATGCATAAGGGATCAATTGTAAGAACATGTTTTAAGAAATGAGCTTCACTACAATACATTATATACATACAGTATAGTAATGTAACTATGTTTCTCTGTTGAATCATATAGAGGTCACCGTCTGGTCTGTATTATCTCTTTGTGTATGTAACAGGTCATTCATGTATCTGTTACATACATTGTAGGGCCATCAGTCCTTAAATATCACAACATTAATATATCATTGATATCTTTCAAAAAACCTGGAACAAATGTTCAACTTCATGAGATGGTGTGCAAGAACCGTGTTGCTAGGTCAAAGGTCAAGGTCCTACTTTAAGGTCAAATGCAAAAAAAAGAAGGTCTGAAACAGCTTGTTCGCACCATAACTCTATCACTAGCTGATCAAATAACCTGGAACAAATGTTCAACATCATGAGATGGCATGTCATGTGCGAGAACTGTTTGGCTAGGTCAAAGGTAAAGGTCATTCTTTAAAGTCATATGCAAAAAAATGGTCTCAAACAGCTTGTATGGACCATACATGTAACTCTATCACTAGCTGGTGGAATTTCAGATAACCTGACAAAAATGTTCAATATCATAAGATGTGTCATGCGCAAGAACCTTGTGGCAAGTTCAAAGGTCAAGGTCTAACTTAAAGGTCCAATTCCAAAAAAAAATTGTCTCAAACAGCTTGTCTGCACCGTAACTTTATCACTAGCTGGTAAAATTTCAAATAACCTGGCACAAATGTTCAACATCTTAAGATGGTGTGTCAAGCACAAGAACTTTTTGACTTGGTCAAAGCTCAAGGTCATACTACAAGGTCAGATGTGACAGCAGACTTGACATACTGCCCTTGGACATCTAGTTTGTTTCTTGGTTTTTAACTTATTCATTAATCTTTTCTTACATGTGTATTATGCAACTCTACAGCCTTTGATAATATACCGTAGCCTCAGGTTAGATTGGCTAGTTTGAATATTGATCAAATCTTAGGGTATATCATATTATAGAATATAACACTTAAGACATTAGACAATTTCAGTGTTTATATTGATTTTTTGTATTCATTTGTGTACATACCACATAGACCTAAATATTTATATTTTATTTACCTATATCATAATAATTAGAACAGTCAGGTTAAATCCTACCTTTTTCCTTTCAGGGTATAAGAGATAAAGATGGCATCATCAGAACATAGCCATGTACCAGCTGAAGTAAAAGCTGAGATAAGCAAGTTAGAGTTACCTCCCTTGATTCACAGAGATTTTGTTGAGATAAGCTCGGACACTGGTGACATTGTTAGAGTCATGCAATGGAATATTCTCGCACAAGGTATTCTTTATAGATAATTGTAATGTTAATTTGAATTAAACATAAAAAGAAGGTGGCGGCGTGGCAGAGTGGTTAACATGTTTGACTAGTAATCTAAGGATTGCTGACCGTGTGAGTGGGGGAAGTTGTTTGTTTCCTTAAGCAAGAAACCTTACAGTCATTGCTTAGTACTGGTTGATTACAGGAACAGATTCGAGGGGGTTTCAATAAGCTTATAACTTCCAACACAAACTAAAATAAATTTGTATAAACTAAGAAATTTATGTTACATAAATTGATAAGTTTCCTTGACATGAAATAGTAAAGGTTCAAGGATATACAAACATATCTTGCAGTATATAATTCAATATTCATTGTTATGAAAAAAAAGTATAAAAGTAAACCTACTGTTTATTTAATATCTACAAAATATTCAATGAACTTCAATTTAAAACATGTTTGAACAGTAAGTGATTATAACATTTAAAAGTCATTATCACACTATAGAGAATAAAAAGTGTTTGACCAGTTACAAGGTTACAGTGCTTGAAAATAGTCAAAATATGTGATCATATATTTTGATTAAACATTTAAAAAAATATCAGGTATGTATTGCCTATCACTGCATTTCAATATATCAATGTAGCAGTATGTATATTGCCCTGCTAGAATATAATCACCAAAGAGATGCATATCAACATTAGTTAGAGATTTTTTGAACAGTTCTAAATAAATCAAATATTAAATCTCATGTTTCACTTTACAATTTACATGTGCAAAACAGTAAGTATTTGAAATAGAAAATTATGTTTCAGAAGAGACCTGTTAAACAAAGTTCTCATTGTCACATAACATTTAAATAGTTGTGTCTTAAGATGGATACTAAAATTAGGTTATAATTCTATATATAGGGCCTTGTTTGATTTATTTTGAAACTCCCGTCATGATAATGATGTAGAAATATTAATTTTCTGTCTGCAGGTCTTTGTGGAGGTGCAGATAATTTTATGAAGTGTCCAAAAGAGGCATTAGAATTTGAGTCAAGAAAGTTACGGGTATTGGAAGAAATAACAAGATACTGTCCAACTGTGATATGTCTAGAGGAAGTGGATTTCTACCCATATTTGTTTGAATGTCTGTCTAAACTAGGCTATGCTGGTGTCTATAGTGAGAAGCCTGATTCCCCTTGTTTATATCAAACAAATAACATAGGTCCTGATGGTACAGCAATATTGTATGACACCTCTAAACTAGTTCTTAGTCAGTCAGATAGCAAAATATTGAAAGAGAATGGAGAGCAGTCGAATCATGTTACTGTAATTGCTCAGTTTCAAACGAAGACGAAGGATCCGAAGATATTTTATGTGGGGGCTACACACTTAAAGGCAAAGCGAGGGTATGAGGAGAAACGAAAGCTACAAGGCCAGTACATATCAAATTATTTGCAAGAAAATTGTAACGATGCTCCAGTTATTTACTGCGGAGATTTTAATGCCGAGGCTACTGAACCAGTCTATTCTGTGATGAAGTCTTGTTCTATAGGGCTTAACAGCGCATACACTTTATTGAGTAAAAATAACGAGGAACCAAAGTACACAACATGGAAAATTAGACCAAAGGGTGAAGAATGTCATACCATTGATTATATATGGTATAGTAATAAAGGGTTAAAGGTCAAATCTGTATTGAATATAGCTGTGGAAGAAGAAATTGGGAAAAATCGCCTCCCTTCTTTGAAATACCCGTCAGACCATTTTGTCACTAGTGTGTGATTTTCTGTTGTTATAGGCTTTTAGTCCAATACTGGCTCTAGCTTTAACTGTTTGCTCTGTGATTAATATGTAATTATGTATTATTTGTAATAAAATCCACAAATATTGTTTAATTAATATAACTGACTATCAAAATTAAGTATAGAAATTATAAATAGATAATCATTGTTAAAGGTTCTGTCTTCCTAGAAATTTTTACGGATTCAATATTTCCTTTTTTCTTATGTAGCTAGTTTTCACGGAGACAATCTTTCGCACTGTCAAAGAAACACCAAATTTTGCAAATATTTAATGCCTGTGGTAATGAACATACATAACTATTATTACAATTATTTTACTACATGAATGTCTGTTCTAGCTACATGTATAATGCTGAGATGAGTCTTCGACTTACGCTATTCACAAATGTTTTTTCATAACACTTTAACATTTTCATTAATTGCTAGTACTATTATAATAAGATGTCAATATGTAGTTTTTTTTAACCAGAAAAAAACAGGTTTAAATTGTTTGATGGAATTTGTGTTAATCCTATAACTATGTCAAATCTATTATAATTGTGGTTTTTAAAATTTAAGTCCAATAAAAAAATTGCAAAAAACTTTTTTTCTTTCTAAATAAAATTGTTCCCCCATTTAAAAATTATATCATTTAAGGGTTGGTTTATTTTTTACATCATAAGCATCCACCTGGAATATGCCTACCATGCAAAAAACCCTAACATAAAAAGTTAGAAATTAAATTTCTAGGAATAACAGTGCTTTGCTGCCAGTGTTGAAAGCAATAATTTTTTTAGGGGTTTATTTTTAAAATCTTCTTTTCGAAGAACAAAATAAAAGGTATTAAATTTTAGTAAATTTAAAAATTTTAAAATATGATTTATCAGAATTTGTCAAATAAAATTTTTCCAAAAATTTAAAGGGGAAAATTTTGATTCAAAGGGGCGGGTTTTTATTACTTTGTTATGTAAAATTTTGTCTATGTTTTTTATCCCATCAACACAAATTAAAAAAATTCCTTTTTGAAAATAAATTCCCATTTAATTTAAAAATTATGATCAAACAATTTAAAGATATTGTAATATTTTTTAAAATTTTTTTTAAATATAAAATAAAAACCCTCAGAGTTAGCACCCTTTTAGTCAAAAATTTTAAAAGGCATTTTTAAACCCCACAACTGCTTAAGAAAATAAAAAAGTAAATTAAAAATTTTCAAAAGCTCTCAAAATTGGCAGAAAAGGGTCTCAATTAATATATGAGCCGTGTCACGACAAACCAACATATAGTGCGTTTTGCGACCAGCATCCGCGCAGTCTGATCAGGGATCCATGCTGTTCGCTATCAGTTTCTCTACTTGTAATAGAGTTTTTTAAGCGAAAACAGCATGGATCCTGATCAGACTGCGCGGATGCGCAGGCTGGTCTGGATCCTGCTGGTCGCCAAACGCACTATATTGCGATTTTGGTGTGACGTGGGCTCATATGTGAAATTATTATTATTATTAGGGAGAAAGTAAGAGTTTATCTATATTAATAAAAATTATAGTGATAATAAAGGTTCTACTCTAGTCTAAGATCATTTATTTTTCTATTATATATTAGGAAAATTCAATGACATGTTTAAATGTATGAGATTTTTTTTATTCTAGTATACATTAACAGTAATTAAGCCAATGATCTAATATTCTTCAAGTACCATGACATTGTATTTTATATACTTATTAAATCTAGTAGTATCATGAAAAAAACAACAACAACATCTTGGGTGTAAACGTTGAACAGACTATTTCTCATAAACTTTGAACAAACTTATTTCTCAGTAAAAATTGTAAATGGAAGTATATTGTGACAAATGAACCAACAACATTCTTCATCAGATAAATCATTATTTGCCAGGTTTACAGTTTATTGACTAAGAACACATTGCAGGCATCAAAAATATTTTCAGAGTCATTCACGATGCAGGGCAAGTAGCTTGGAAATCTAATGTGCAGGCAACATTTTTCTAACTGTCCTGCATTGAGTTCTCCTAAATTCAGATGAGTAAAATTTTTGATCTGTGTATTAGTTACAAAATGTATAATAATAAAGCAGATAATACAAAAACGATTGTGGATTTAAACCTTACTACGGTCATGACTCAATACTACATGTATGTTTCACTTAGGTTCATGTATATGGCACGAGTTGTACAGATTAATACTTGTAGGAAGATTATAAATAATAACAAGAATTTGTTAAATTATCAAGCTTAAATACATTTTATAAATGCTTAAACAAATTAAAACAGTTTTTTATTACATGTTTTGCAGTAGATTATATACTGAATTATAACGGTTAATTATATTCTGATAATTTCACAGTAATGATTACCAAATATAATTTCACAGTAGCTGAACTATATTTGGCGTAAAAATAAAATATTTATCATTAATGAATGTTTTTTTCAGCGGAAATGTAGTCAATCATAATAACAAATGTACGTGATAACTGTAGTTCGTAAATATTTACGAACGTTGTGCTGAAAAACATCTAAAATCTAAAAATAATCATGGAATTATATTTTGCTTCAACATTGTGACGTCATTTATTTGATGACGTCATGAAGATAAAGAGCATGACGTTACGCGGCAAAATCAGTAAAATGGTGTAAAAATCGTTAAAAAATCATGAAATAACAGAAAATTTGTTTGTTTTACATGTAAGATCAAATAATATTTCACTCGTGAACCCCAGCTATTATATTTTCACTCGTGGCTACGCCACTCGTGGAAAATATTGCATCTGGTGTTCACTCGGTGAAATATTTTTCGATCTTACACTGAAACAAACAAATATCCTCTATGTATTTAGTCCTTTTGTTTACCTATATATTAGTCATATTTATTTATAGATAATATAATAAGAAAACCTTGGCTATCGCCATGGTCAATATTATTTTTTTCAGTACATATCACATCATGATTAGGTCATTTTTGCCAATAAATTTCATTGAAAAAAGCGGCATACTAAAGTGCAAGTAAAATTTCAGAACAAGAATTTCTCTTTCATTATTTCTATGATTTTGGTCATTAGATAAAAAGAAACATTTGTTGTTATATCATATAGTCTATTATTAAACAGACTTGATAACAATTTCATGAATTTATTTAATAAGATTTTATATTGTATGGCAACTCCTTTGAGATCCTTTATATATTGTAGTTTTGCTGAATATAATATTATTACACAATTATGACATAAAGGTATATCGCCCATTCTTAATAAAATAAAGCATTTGAGGTTGAAAAATATTAAAAATTTGATGTTGTCATTGTGTCATTTTTTATCGCTGAAGGTAAAAGTTTAGGGTATTTTGCAAGTAGTTTGCCAGAAATATTTTGAAACAAGAAACTATGATATAACAGGACGGCATTTATTCGGTAATGACACTGTATTTCTTCGTTAAAAGTAGATTTTCAGATCTAATAATGTCACATATTGGCTGCATTTAAATACAAAATGTCTGTAAAATATATCAAAATCTGTTAAAATTCTTCTATCTAGAGGGGGACTTTCTAACCCAGGAAAATTCAAGTAAGTTGGGTACCTTGCTAATTTTCTGTTAATTTCTTCAAAGTTAAATATTCGTAGAAGGCAAAAATAGTCAATTTTGGAAGTGATACTTTTAATGTCTTCATTCAAAAGGATATATATCATATATATAATATATGAAGGTCAAATGCAAACCAACAAATATTGTGTTAGCAATTTTTTTTTTCAAAACATTCAACTTTCCACTTTCTTAAATATTTGGAAAATTTATTGCTATGCAGTTCTATATTTATCCCTATATAGGATGTCACGTATGTTTCATTTATTCAAATGCAAGTAAAGGTTGAGAAAACAATTTTATGTTTGATAAAATAATTTTATATTTATGGATATTTTTTTAACATTATTATATATAGAATGAAATACGGCCAGTAAGCTCTTTGCAGAAACAAATTAGTTGTTGCTGAGAACATCAATATCTTGTAATATATTTTTAACATTTCTGCTGGTACATCAACATATTATTAACATTTCTTTCCTTTGTAAAAACATTTTGTATTTTTTACATCTAATACAAGGTAATCCGTACTAACAGGCATTTTATCCCAACTTTATCTTTTAATTTTAAAAAAATTGTTGAATTGTAAGGGAGTAACGTATGTTTCAACTCGCTTATTTATTGAACTTTTTTATCACGGAATTGAAATTACATGTAAAACCGACTTTTTTATTTAGAATCAAATGTACATTCATTCTATTGTCATAAAAATGCGATTTTATTTTTTATATATGCATGGTAAAACAAATATAAAGTCTGTTTGATAAAAGTAACGTTTTTCACTGTGGTTACTTAAAACAAGTTTAAAATTTACTAACTAATGTCGAATTAATGTTACTGTTAACGTTGCTTTCTGACTTCAATTTTCTCTTTTGATAAACTTACTTTAAAAATTGAATAACGTATGTTTCTGTAACGTATGTTTCATTTTTACATTGAAAGTGGGTTAAAAAATGACGAAGAGACCGTTTAACCGGCCATAATTTGTGGTTAATATATTGCAGAGTTACACACATGTTAATTTTCTTTCTTGTTTGGATTCTTCTTTGAATGTATTAGGCTCTTAAATAATGGTAATGTATGTTTAAAATGGTGTTGAAAAGATTGAATAAAAATGAAAATTTCCGAAAATAGAAATGATATTTGAGAGGCTGCAAGCTTATTTTTCACTTATAATTATATATATTGCTGTATTATTAAGCATGCATCGATTCAATTATTAATGTCGGTTTCACTTTTATGATTGTTTTAGGTTTGTCACTATTTATTATATGCATTTGGCGACATTTGATCATGCATTATACCAATGAGATTTTAACAGTCAAATATAATTTTTACCAATAATCAAAGTTCATATACACAAAAGCAATGACTAATTGCACATGTTTCGTTTATTCTGGAACTTATTTTTCTGAAACACAATTTCAAAGTTTGAAAATTCTAGTGGCGACAGTAAACGTATGTTACCATTCCTAGGCAATTAATGGTACTTGTAAAAAAAAAATAACAGATAGAAATGTAAAACTGAGAGAGTCCCTATTAGACAAAGTGGCAGACACCTTTCTAACGACATTTTGACCTCAAGAAAAACCTTCGTATAAGAGCTACCCAGTGGAACATCAAATGCTGTGTTTTATTGAGAATGAGCGATATGCATGCAAAGTGTAGAATGTATGAATTTTAAATTGTTATCTGATAAACTTTTCTGAATGATTAAATTGAAGCTTACATGCATTAACATTTTAAATATTATAGGAAGTGTACTTTTGTTCTTATGTGACTAATATTGCACAGTTTGGCGTTCATATGCACAGTTATTATGGTAACGAGGGGAGTTATCGCTTTAATTACATATAGGAGAATGAATGAAATTATTATTTACCTGAAAGACTTGTTATG